AAAATACTGTACGCTTCGTATTATCTAACATTTATCGCGATTACATTTAAAAAAAAATGACACAGTTACCTGCCTGTACGAGCCTCGGTAAGAGAATGACTGCACGATAACTATGCGTAAACATGACACGCATCATCTGCCCGCCCTACCACAACCCTATCATAAAACAAACCCCAAGGACGCATGCCAACCGTCTTACTGTCGAAATATTAACGCACATAATTACGAAATAATCTATTTGTTACATTTCTCATATTCTTCGATGAATAGACTTTATTGCTTTATTTCTTAGATTCTTTCGCGCATAAATAACTCATCTATAATTTAAATATTTCAATTGTGTTAAAATAAACGATTATTAGTTCGTAATAATTTTATATTACATAAAATCCATGCAGTTTACACAATATATTTAATAAAACATTGACACCTTGTGGCTTTTTATTACTTTTGAATTGTCATTAAATTCTGTCATTCACGTCTATTATAGTGCACAGCACACTAATACACCTCAACCGAATAAATCGCTATAAGTTATTGTAGTATTACAATTCGTACTTACTAATAATCGTCAATTGTCGATAACGTTATCATTATCTTAATTTTGATTACTTCCTGGGCCCTATTAATAGTCACTAAAATTTTTCCAGGGCCGATCGTTAGTATTTCGTTCGCGGTGATTATGATTTTATCGACAGGGTCAGAAAATGTAGTACGTAGTGTCTAAATCGAAAATAAATATATTGGCGGTAGTGTACGGATGATTTTTCAATGGTGTTGCGAAAAACGCCGGCATAACTTTTCTCAGGTTTCTCTCTAATAAAGTTCACTGATTGTAAACAATTTACTATTGTTATTTAGTTTACGGAAAATTTGTGAAAAATGGTCATAGCGATTGGATTTGAAGGTAGTGCGAATAAACTGGGTATAGGAATAATTCGCGATCAACATATATTATCGAACGTACGACATACTTATGTTACTCCACCAGGAGAAGGTAAGAACCTCAAAGTAATATTTTATAAATACTCAAATATATATTAAATTTTTTATTAATGCAAGTTATTTCTTGCATTAATATTATTTTTGCTCTCTATTTAATTTGTACTACTACTTACATGTCGAAATTGCAAACTATAATTCCAATTAATTATACTTTTATAGTTAGAAGATAAGTGTGAAAAAAGGTAGATTTACCTAAAATTAAGTTGTGCATAAATATTTTAATTTTATTAAAAAATATTGTGTAGTATAAGTCAGCCATATATTTTTTAATATAGTTGAATTGAATTTATATTTAAAATATGATTAAAGTTCTAAAAATCAAGTTTTCTGTGTATATTAATCATAATTGTGTTTACAATTAAAATTTTACATTAATATAAAGTGCATTGTATTCTGTATATTAATTTGTACTATATATTAATTACATATGATATATTATTTATTTATTTCTTTAATGTTTTTATCATTCATAAATCAATATCAATTAGAGCTTAATTAAAATTAATACAGTATCGTAAAAAGGAAGTAATAAAAATAGAAAGTATCTATTTTACAAGATATAAGGTTTTTTTAGTTATTTTTGAAATGAAATTTATTAAGTATTTCTTAAAACTTTTTAATAGATTTATATTTATATAAGTTCTAAACATTAGATAAATATATTAACATGTAATCTAGATATGTTTTCATATTAGGTTTTTTACCTCGAGAAACAGCTCAACATCATAGAAAGTATGTATTAGAAGTTTTGCAAGAAGCCTTAGATGATGCAAAGATTAGTCTGAAGGATGTGGATGTAATTTGTTATACAAAAGGACCAGGAATGGGAGCACCATTGACAGTTACTGCTTTAGTAGCTAGGACTGTCGCTCAATTATACAATAAACCTATAGTTGCAGTCAATCATTGCATTGGTCATATTGAGATGGGACGTTTAATTGCTGGTACTGAAAATCCTACCGTTTTGTATGTTTCTGGTGGAAATACTCAAATCATTGCATATTCTCAACAAAGATATCGTATCTTTGGTGAGACAATTGATATAGCAGTTGGAAATTGTTTGGACAGATTTGCAAGACTATTAAAGCTCTCAAATAATCCTTCTCCTGGATATAATATAGAGCAGTTAGCAAAAAAGCAAGTAGATTTTTACTTGATTACTATTTAGTCTTCATATAAATTCGATTAATTTTAAATTTATGCTTAAATTTATACTGGATAAATAAATTCAAATAAATTTTATATAAAAAGAGGTGAGAAACTGGTACTGCTACCATATGTTGTAAAAGGGATGGATGTATCATTCTCTGGTATTTTAAGTTACATGGAGGAACATCTTTCCAAATGGCTTGATACAAAGGCATTCACTCCTGAAGATTTATGTTTCTCTTTGCAAGAGACTGTATTTGCTATGCTCATCGAAGTTACAGGTAACTTTAAGTAGATAAATTTTTTTTCTTATCATTTTTTCGTTTCTTTACACTGAGTAATATTGTAGAACGTGCAATGGCGCATGTAGGATCAAATGAGGTATTGATCGTGGGTGGCGTGGGGTGTAATGAAAGATTGCAGCAAATGATGAATATCATGTGTAAGGAAAGGAATGCGACTCTTTATGCAACGGATGAGCGGTTCTGCATAGACAACGGTGTTATGATTGCAGTTGCTGGATTGCTTCAATACAAAAGCAAGGGTGGTACTCCTTGGATGCAAACTACTTGCGTTCAAAGATACCGAACAGATGATGTATATGTTTCTTGGAGAAAATAAAATATTTTCAAAGAATTTTTTCGTTCAAATATTTTAAATTATGATATTTTAATAATTTAAATTTAATAAATGTTTATTATTAATAATTTAAATTTCCTGTATCACAATATAATAATATATTGACTGAGTATCATTTATATCAATTGTCGATAATGTCAGCGTTCTTCAATTACCTCCGGACCCTCAGGGTCCTTTTTGTGAGGACGAAAGTTTGATTAGGATTAACAGTTTTTAATAGTCTCGTCGGTGCCTATGTATAAAACGCATATATATACATGTATTGATTATATATCTTATTTATAATTTATTGATGTAAATTATTATATTACTGAAAAAAAAATAAGGTAAGAAATAAAAATAATGTTTTTCTTATGATGTGAGAGGAATGAAACAAAGAATATATTTATTTGCCAGAATCTATGAAAATATTATATTTGATAAATCTTTTTTCTAAATATGTATCGCGTGTTGCATTGGTCAATACGTCGGCTATTTTATAATTATAATGTTTGTTGGAAGCATTTTTGTTTCTTGCTATTTTTTTATAAAGTTGATAGTACTGAGTAACAAATGATTGAAGACCAATATTCAGCGATTTTTAGTAATTAATATCTTATTAATTGTGCGAAATTTGCAAAATATATTTTTCAACTCAGTTTAATTCGCTCTATCTACACAAGAGCGCTTTGTCAATAATATGCGGAACACCCTGTATATGTGTGTGTGTATTTGTAAATAAATGATGCTTGCATCTTTTGTAGCATCTTTTGTAATTTCGAGTACTGTAAAAAATAAATGACGTTATATATTTTTTTCTTAGAAATGTGCAATTTTTATTTGAATGTTTTTTTACAATAAGAACCTATTAAAATATTTATATTTAGTAATTATAATTTATTATAGTAAATATTAAATTAGTTTGTCTATACATATATTTCTTGTGTCAAATAATCAATGTTTGATTAAAATTTTTTTATCATATATTTATATAAACATTTAAGAGAAAATCTTTAAAAAAGTAAAAACCGGAAATAATTTTGATTTCGGAGAATTTAAAGTTATTGATTTTTATATAAGATAAATTGTGATTTTTATTGAATTTACCTTCATTAATTTAATTATTTTAATTATTTTATTTCAACATTTATATTAATATAAAATTTATATTGATAGATTTTTAGAGAATATGTAATGTATATCGATTGTATTTATAAATTTGTTAAATATAATATTATTTGTGTTTCAGTATTTATAGATATCTCCTTGTTATGCAATAATGTAACTTGCTTGTAACAATTATCTAGTTTAATACGCCTTCCAAGTCTTCTTTCGGTCGTTTCAATACTGACCCTGTTCAGATATTACATCGATCGGCTTATTAATTATATATACGAAACGTTTTCTGGGCATATATAATGTTTTATCGATTTGATTCTAAGGAATAGCAAATGTATTGGTGGGAGGATATCTTATTGCATAGCTTTACGTTGAAAACATGAATTTTGGCAAAAACACGCTACAAAGTTGTTTCAGCCAAAAAAGAAATCTGAGTAGGGGAGAAACAGAGATGGATACATCAATCGAATTTGAGTAATTGTTCTTCGTGGAACGCTGTATATAAGCGAATTATAGATAAAAATGTAGATTTATAGTTTGTTATTATTACTAATATTTAATTATTAATATAATAATAATATTTATGAATGATATTAATGATCAAATCTCTTGAATTTTAATGAATCTAGTTTTTTATATTATACACAATTGTTAG